AATATCTAGCCTGAACCTTCTCTGCAGCTGTCTCTGTCTGTCTTTTCTGTCTGTCTTTCTGTCTTTCTTTTATGATATTTTAAAGTGTGGATGTGATGATTTGATATCTCTATCTTGAAATGATTACCAAAATGAGGTCAGCATATCTATTTTAACTTTAACTGTTTTGAAAGTTGGTAGCCTTTGACCAACATCTCTTTTCCCCACCTTCTTGGCTCTTGATAGCCAGAATTTTATTCTCTTTTTCTAACCATTCCTTAGTTTTTGTTCTCACATTGATTAAAGTTACTTATTTGAGTGCTTGTTTGTTTTTTTTTTTCCCCAGAAAACTGTGCTGCTTTATTTTTTCTGATACTTTACATACCTGAAAATAAATCCTGTTGTTTTAGATAAAAAACATGGTTGAGCGGAAAACTCTTGTGAAATAACCTTTCTCTTCCAAGTCTGATATTTATTTATCTTCCATCAATTAACTTTGAAGAGAATTCAGAATTTAGTTGAAATGTACTTGAAATTTTTTGGTATGTGGCTGTAGTGATGAATAGTTGCAGGAATCTTCTTTATCTTTGAAGCTTGAACCTTTCATTAAGATATATCTGAGTGATTTTGCCTTCCATTAATTTTTGCCTGATGACCCATGCACCCTAATACCCCCGCCCCTCAGAGCTTTTTGATTTATACAGTATAACTTTCATGTAAGGAAATTATTCTGTTATGTCAATAAGTATTGTTTCTGTTTCATTTATTCTTGACATTCTCCAGTGTTACCAGTTTTCACATTTTGTCTCTCCACATTTAGGTACCTGTTTATTGTGTATTTCTTTTCATATTTGTCAGCTGATTGTTTTCATTAGCTTTTTTCCCTTCTGTGTGTGTAGTCAGGCTCTCAAACTGTCACTGCACCTTCCCAGTGTGACCTCTTACAGTGTCCGACCTGCCTCTCTAAGGCTCTTTCTGGCCAGCTCTCCTGGAGAAACTTGAGCACCTTTACAGTTTCCAGGCCACCATACTTCATTTTGCACCTGGCTTTTAATCTTAGTGCTTATATCTCAGTACTAGGGGCCTCACGGTACCAATTTTTCCGTGCTGTTGTTTCTCAGAGTGTTTTATAAGTTAGCTTGGGATAATAAGTTGCCTTAAATGTAGCAGAATTTCTAAAAGTTTCTGATTTTAAAATGACACCACTATCTAGGATTGCTTATAGAGTTCCATTTCATTTGGACCTAAGGGTAGAAATAAATGTGAACCTTGTCAGCTTTTCCTGTTTTATGTGGCAGTGTTTCCCTCCTACATGTGTGATTGACTTTTTCCCTCGATCTAGGAAGATGAATATGTGCCCTGTCACCTTTTCCTGTTTTGTATGGAAGTGTTTCCATCCTACACATTTGAAGAATCAATCATACAGTCTAGGAAGAATCAAGACTTTGTTGATTGGTGGTGGTAGTTGTTGCTGTTGTTAATTTCCAAGTTGCCTGCCAAAATATTTTTAGATGAATATATATGTTGAGCATTTAAATAAATGTAGAAGAGGATTGATTGAAACAAGATAAAATTAGATTGACCGTGAATTGATATCTGTTGATGGGTACTAGTCTTTCTAGCCTTGCATATAGATTTGGAATTTTCATAATAGAAAATTATTTTGAGTTTTCCAAGTGTTGATTTCTAAGAAAAAATTTTCTCTGAATTGCATTGTAGCAGGAGAATATATCTTATACAATATCCTATACAATATATAATGTTGAATTTATTGTGATTTCCTGTGTGAATTGATATAGGATCTGTTTTATAATGTCTAGTAAATTTATTTATTTAATAAAATTTATTTACTATGTCTAGTGAATAAATCCTATGGGTAATGATAGTCAGGGGCTCTGTAACCTAATTTTTCCAATTCATCTATTACACACTATGAGGGATTTGTTAAATTTTCCCCATTCATTTTAAGACTGTACACATTACTTGTTATTTTGAACGAGGAGGCCCGCCTCGTACTGATTATGCGTTTGTTGTTCACTGGTTGGTGGTGCTGGGATCAAACCCAGAACTCGGCGCGTCCTCGCCAGAAGCGCTGGCCCTGGGCTGTGCCCCCAGCCTCACGTCTAAGCTTACGTATTAGTTGAATAGCACCATTTGACTGTGTGGTATATGCCACTTCTTCCTGTTTGCTGCCTCCTTATAATCACAAAGCAAGATTGGCATGGAATGTGGGAAGTACAATGTAGAATCCATCTTGAAATAAATTAATGACAAGGTGAAGAAAAAGATGCAATTCATCGCTCTTGGATCTCCTCATGATGATCAAAAAGGGAACCAGGTTTTTTGCTTGACAAGAGATTTACTTTCATCTGGATTGTAATATTTTATCAATGTGAAGTTAAATGTGTGGTATGCTGGACAGATTACTGTAGGGGTTCAATAAATACTTGTTTGATTAATTTCGTTCAAAGTGATAACACTGAGTAGAAAAAGAAATGTTCAGTCTAGTATATTTACTTTTATTTTTTTATTTTTTTATTTTTTTGGCTTTTTTGAGACAGGGTCTCTCTATGTAGTTCAGGCTGGCCTTGAGCTCACTTTGTAGCCCAGGCTGGTCTCAAACTTGCAAGACATAAAACTTCCTAAAATTGTAGCAACCTAAACTGTAGATTTCCATGGGTTGGAACTGTACAGAGAATTTGTTTGGAGGAATAGTGTTAGAATGTTACAAGGAGCCAGAAGTCATGTATTTTTTAAATCTTACGAAATGCAGTCATCCGCACTGTTTATTATAGTCAGCGGTACTCACGGCGCTGTCTGTTCACTCCTTATTGCTCACAGTCCGCTTCAGGTGTTCTGGGGCAAGAGAGAAGCTCCTCCTTAATCGCCCTTCCTAGTGATGGGCTGTGTCCCAATTGCAATGAAAAACATGCAAATTTTAAATTCACTTTGTTCAGTCATAAGCAACTACTTTATGAGCAGCATTGTCAGTATATTTATTTATAAGATTTTTATCTTCAAATATGTAAATTTTCATAATTATTTATGTTTAGTCTATTTTTAACCATTCTCCAATGAGTTCCGCCAATTCTAAGACTACTGTCTAGAATACCTCTAACAGTACAGTTGCCCAAGTGATTTTGTGACTTAGATTTTCTTTCATTGGCAGAAAACATGTCATATAAATTTTGAGCAGCTGTTTTCCAGTTTGCTTTTATGTCTAAATTTATACCTAGTCTTTTTATGGTAGCAGCATTAATAATCCAAAAGAACAAGCTTGTTTCATTTACACGTTTACATCCACTATAGATGTGTACTAGTATGAAACTGCCCCTTTTAAGCATTCTTTTATGTTTTTAGACTGTAAAGTCTATCCTGGGATCAGGCTGAAATTTATGCAGCTGCCTACCTTCTTCAGTGTGCAGAGTTTGTATCTATACACATATCTCTGCTTTAATTTTCTATATCTGCAACAGCAAAGTACTGGATTCATGAGCTGTCAGGCTGCCTGCTAGGAAAAAGTTTCATCAGATTGAGCTTATACTGAGAACTTGAAAACACTAGAAAGGGACACCTTTAATTCCTTTACATGCTTGAGAATGTGGATTATTTTGCTTGCAAAATGGGAAGGGGAAAATAAGAAGTAGTAACGATTTTCCATGTCATTAGTTTTCATATTTATAAAAGTTTAGCTTCCATACATTCTACCTTAACATTTAAATCTTTTACTAAAAACGAATGCTAGGGTTGATGTATAAAATTATCATATAGAACTTTTTGTGGTAGATGTAAATATGTCGATTAGTTTGACTTAGTTATACAGTAACATCTATGGTAGTATACAGTGTTGTGTTTGACATGGTTTAACCAATTGTGTCCTCGTTTTTAAAGTTTTATTTGGGAGTCTTACCTAGCTAAATTATTAGGTAGCAATAGATTGTGAATTTGAAAATTTAATTCTGATTAATACTAGGATTAATCATATCAGTGATAGTGATATAGTGGGGGATACAGGAATTACCTTATAAGTTGGTCAAAATTTATTAGGCATACTACTTTTAGATGGGATTTAGCCACATCTGTATCATCCATATCATTTCTACTGTCTGTGAAGAGAAAATATTTAATTAAATGTACAGATTAAGCTTTTTGCAACATGATTTGTGAGAACAAAAAACAGTATAGCCTAAATGTGTCACAAGAGAACTAGGTACATCCCTTACATATCAACAGGCTCCTATACTGTATTTTCAGAAATGAAGTAGTGCAGGGGCTGGGGATTTAGCTCAGTGGCAAAGTGCCTGCCTGGCAAGCGCAAGGTCGTGAGTTCGATTCCCGGTACGGGAGAAAAACCAAAAAAAAAAAAAAAGAAATGAAGTAGTGCAGTATATGATATCTTAGATCTCTAAACTATATTGTTAAATAAAAATATTCATTGAAATATGCGCATCAACCTGTAGTTGTCTCTTGGTAAAATTGAAAAGGGTTAGGAAATCTAAGATTCCCTTGTTTTTTATAGCAAACCATGTATTACTTTTCTGAAAAAGTCAATAAACAAAATACACTGCTGTTCATCTGCAGTACCTTGTGATGTTCGCTGTTGTTGTGGCTTTGAGCAGCATTGTGCTCTTTTGAAAAAGTGAAAGCTGTGTTAGTACATTACATTGACTTTGTCTGCTTTTGTTTCGTTGTTGTTGCTGTTGTTGTGGTCTTTTTGAGACAGTCTCGCTACGCAGTTCGGGCTGGCCTTGAGCTCACTTTGTAGCCCAGGCTGGCCTCGAACTTGCAACACTCCTGCCTCAGCCTCCGAGTGCTGGGATTACAGGCGTGCGCCACCATGCCGGGCTTTGTCTATAATATTATTGATAACTAACGCTACTGTTTCAATAAAATAAATTTGTCACATTTTACTATTTTGTTATTATTACGAGATTTGGGGGCATCAAGATCAAAGCATGTTGTAGGAGTTAAGAAAAGTTGTAAATTTATTTTTAAATTGCTGTGCTATTTTTCTGTTGCAGTTACCTAGAAAAGTACGAGAAAGTTCATCATTTTGGGGAGGATGATGATGAAGTACCACCTGGCAACCCAAAGCCACAGCTTCCTATTGGTGCAATTCCATCTTCCTACAATTACCAGCAACACAGCGTGTCAGGTAAACATCACGACAAGTTACAGGACAGAGGTCCACACTTCTGCACTTGAAAAATAGAAATCAAATGAATTACTCCCCGTGTACATGAGAACACTTAAGATGTAGTGTTCCAGCTTTCAAAGATCAACATCTAATTTGTATTAGGGCCCTTTCTATCACAGGTTGTTTAAGAATATTAAGAGTCAGAAATATAGCTCAACCGCGCAGCATCTGCCCAGCAAGCTCAAGGTCCTGAGTTGGATTCTCAGTACCGACAAAAAAAAAAAAAAAAAGTAGTTACAGGAACTTTTATTATAATTACGAATACCTATACTTTCAAGTAAAGTTTCTTCATTATTACGTGCTTTTTTACTTGTTAGCTGAGCAGTTTAGTCCAAATAGTCACTGAAATGAGAAGCGGAGCTCATGCTTGCCATCCCAGCACTCAGGATGCGGAGGCAGGAGGATTGCTCTGAGTTCAAGGCCAGCCTGAAGTACATCATGAGACCCTGTCTCAGAGAAAACAATAAAATAAAATGTGATAAGAAGAGGAATCCGGGCATGGTGGCGCATGCCTGTAATCCCAGCACTCAGTAGGCGGAGGCAGGAGGGTTGTTGCTAGTTGAAGACCAGCCTGTGCTACAAAGGTGAGACCCTGTCACAAAAAGACAAAAAAAAAAAAAAAAAGAAGGGGAAGATCCTTAAGTCACTCTTGTAAAAGCTGAAGAATCTTCAGCTAAAAAGAATTCAATTCAAATTGGAGATAATCCACTAGAGAGTCTGATAAACAGATTTAAGTAGAATTGACTGGGTTCTAGTTTTTAGTGGCTGTAGGGATGGAGGCTGTGAGCTGAGAGAGAGATACAGAGAGATAAGTTCGTGTCTTTTTCTTCAAGCAGCAACATCTGGCCTAGAGAAATAGGTAGTTTTTTTAGTTCTGTTCTCTGTGAAGGTTATATTCTCAATATGTTTATTATTATTTACTGGTACTGGTGCTAAGCTGTCTCATTTGTATCAGTATCATCAGTTCTTTTATTTTACATTGTCTGTTTTCAGTTTTCTTTTATGTTGATGGTGACTCTGTATTTCTTGCTCAGTCAACAGTGGCTGCACAAACAGGATGTCTTCTTAAAATATGTGAACTCCATTGGAAGAGACTGTCGTTTAATGATTTTTAAAATAATTAAGATGAGAGAGGAGCAGGAAAAACAGAACAAGCCTAGCTTTGTTTTTAATGAGTGTTTATTACTATAAGAATCAAAGTTAAAACATTTAAAGTCACTATGTAGAAAAGCTTGCTTTTCTTTTTTTTTTTTTTTTTGAGACAGGGTCTTGCTATGCAGTTCAGGCTGACCTTGAGCTCACTTTGTAGCCCAGGCTGGTCTGGAATTTGTAGTGATCCTCCTGCCTCAGCCTCCAGAGTGTTGGGATTACAGGTGTGCACCACCACACGCGGTTTAAACTTGCTAATAATTTAAACCAATAAAATAAAGCGACTTACTAGGTTTTATGTCCTGTGTCCCTAAAAAGAGGTAATAACCACTAATTCAGTGGTATTATTATAGAGGATATTACTACATTGAATGAAACATTGTGCTAATGACTTTGAAGTCTGTTTTCAACTTCATAACTATGATTCCTATATTATATAGACAGAGCTATTTGTTCTCGCAGGTTAAATAGATTTATCTGTATTTCCCAAACCAACCCTTTGTTCCCTTGTTCCCTTTAGTCTGGTTTAAAATAAAGTGCTTTTCTGTATTGGTTCCGTCCGTCTCCTAATTGAAATTGATTTACTTTAAGAAAGACAATGTGGAAATTTTGGTATTTCAGAAGCCTGTAATGAAACTTACAGATGGAGCTACACAAGTTAAAGAAATTATAAACTGCCTTAACTTCTTATAATAACTCTTTTTTGATATGCCCTAATATATTGAGTTGGTTTTCAGGAGAATCTGAGCAAGTATGTAAGATATATATTGTATTTGATAAAGTCAAGAATTGGGTGTTCAGAAAGAGTAGGAATTGCTTTAGAACATCAAGTCATGCAATATCTACTTCGGACTGGAAAGAGCGGCATTTATTGAAGTGCTGTTTATTTTTTTAGAAAAGAATCGTAACAGCATCATGATGGTATTTTACAGATTAACATGGTTATCAACATATAAAGCAACTTCACCAATGATTCTTTTCAAGTATCATTAAGCAAAATAGAGTAAACTTCATAGTTTTCAGTGCATGTGTGTGAGTGTTCTAAACAAATGCCAAATTAGAATTACTGTAGCAAATTAAGAGCTTTTATTTAGGGCCAGTGATGTGTAGAGTGCTTGTCTGGCTTATGCGAGACTCTGAGTTCAGTTCCCAGTACATATTTTAAAAGAACCTTGGAAAGACTTTCTGTGTCAGAAATTTGGAGCAGAATTTCTTTTGTTTTGAATGTGAGGACTGGGGGTTTAGCTCAGTGGCACAGCGCCTGCCTGGCAAGCGCGAGGTCATGAGTTCAATTCCTGGTACCGGAAAACAAAACAAAACAAAACAAAAAAACAAAATAAGTGAACTTGATGATTATTCAGCATTGACATCAGCATCTTTATCACTTGTGTAGTTTTTAATATATTTTTTGCCATAAACACCTAATCCTTTGGGTTCTTTCACTCTTTGCCCTCCCTTGGTATTGATGTGGATACATTAATATCTATAGAATTATTGGGTAGATTTTTAAGGTTTTCTTACTTCTCTATTCTTTTATTCTTTTAATTCTTTCCATTTCCCCCTCCTTCCTACCTTCTCACCCCCCCCCCCACCTTCTTTCCCTTAGCACTGGGTTCAGAGCCCAGGGCCCTTCCTACTGAGTTAATCCCCGGCCCTTTTATTTTTTATTTTTTTATTTTTAGATTTTTTTTTTTTCTTGTTTTTGGTTTTTCTCCGGTACCGGGAACTGAACTCATGACCTTGCGCTTGCCAGGCAGGCGCTTTGCCGCTGAGCTAAATCTCCAGCTCCTATTTTTTTGTTTTTAGACAAGGTCTCTGTCTCACTTTTTTCATTGCTGAGAAAATACCAGGCCAGGTGTCATGGTGCACACCTGTCATCCCAGTACTTGGGAGGCTGAGGCAGGAGGATCATTGTGAGTTTGAGACCAGCCTGGGCTACAAAGTGAGTTCGAGGCCAGCATGAACTGCATAGCGAGACCCTGTCTCAGAAAGACAGAAAAGAGAATGCCAGACACCCAAAGTTAGAGGAGGAAAGGTTTATTTCAGCCCATGGTTTGTGGAGGTTTCAGTCCAGAGCTGGCTGGCTCGAAGGCAGGGCACCACGGAGGTGGCACTGCAGAGGAGAAGCGTCACTGGGCGGCAGGGCCGTCCCTTAGCCTCCACCTGGGCTGTGGCCTGCTGGTTGAAGCCATCGTATCTAGGCTGGCGCTGCCATGGTCTGCCCTCTGCTCGTTGCAAGCAGAGCACTGATCCAGCACCACACAGGCCTGATCCCCCGATCACACACCCTCGGTGCAGCCGGAAGCCCTACCTGTCCGCGCTGGAGGCTTCCCGGGAGCACCTAGGTACAAGCCGTGACCGCGGACAGTCTCCTGAAGTTGTCCGGGCTGGGCCTGAACGCATGACCCTCGTCCGCCACCCTCTCGGAGTGCTGGGGAAATGCACGTGCCCCCGGGCCTGGCTCCATTTCTTGTATTTTTGGAAAATACATTTGTACTATCTTCATAGGAGAACTGTGAAAGGCAAAAGTGACAAATGCAGTATTCTGCAAATTCAGTATTTCTAGAAACATAAAATCGGTCTGTAATGTGTTGTACCTTAGAGTTTTGTGAGCCCGTTTTCCCTACCTTCAAAGTTTTTAAAATGGGCATTTTAAACTAATTCTTCTACAGAAAAGCTTAATGTTACTGTACTTTAAACAAGGACTTCTTAGGACATAAAAACGTAAGGAGAAAAGTAAAAATGTACAGGACAGATTTCATCAAAATTAAAATTTCTCTTAAAAGATACTTAAAATGCAAAGACAGTCCGCTAACTGGGAGAATCTGTTTGTAAAACAAGTATCACATAAGCAATATTTAGAATATTTAAAGATGACAGTGTTGACTGCTAGCAAGAGGAGGAGTAAGAGAAATTCTCTAAACTGATGGCAGACATGCCAATGCAGAATGTTACAGCCAGTTTGGAAAACAGTTACGCACTTTTTCTTAAAAAAAATTAAGCGTTTACATGTGACCTAGTCGTACCACTTGTAAGTAGGTAGCAACAGTAGTGAAAAAGCAGGTCCCCACAAAATCCTGTAAGTTTTTTAGCAGCTGTTTTTATAGGTACTAAAAACTAGAAACAACACAGATGTCTTTCACCCGGGAAATGGATAAATGGTTTAAAAAGGAATGGATTGCTGTTCACATGTTGACGTGGATGTGAATCTCAGACATTTGCTAAAGAAAAGAAATCAGAAGCAGAAAGGCTGTCCATTGCCTCGTTCTGTTTACTTGACATTTTGAAATATAACAAAGCTATAGGGCCGGGGATAGAGCTCAGGGGCACAAGCGCCTGCCTGGCAAGCTCAAGGTCCTGAGTTCTATTCCTGGTATCAAAAAAAAAAAAAAACAACATATATAACAAAGCTGCAGAACAAAACAAAGGATCAGTGGTACAGAGGCGTAGGGGTTGGAAGTGACTACAGAGGACAAAGGATGCTTTTTGAGGTGATAGAAATATTCTCTTGACTGTTGTGTGGCTCAGGAGCTGTGTATATTCATCAAAGCTCTGAATTCTAAAATAAAAAGAATGGTTCTATTACTTTTAATTATATCTCAGTAAGTCAGAACATCCCTTTGAAATGCAAAAGTAAAGTATAGGTTATATAAATTTAAAAATAGTATAATACTGCTTTGGCAGTGATATCCAAGAAGGTAAGTATGCTTTTGTATTTTGATTTTTTTTCTAGAATGTAATTTTAACATTTAGTAAACCTAAAAACCTTGAACTGTTAACTTACGATCAGCTTGTATTTTATTTAAAAAAAAAAGAAAAACTGACCTGTAGTCAAAAGATGCCAAACATAAGTGTGTCCGATCCTTCCACAACCTTAAGTGTTTCTTTCTCTTCTTAGATTATCTGCGGCAAAGTTATGGGCTATCTATGGACTTCAATTCGCCAAATGATTATAATAAATTGGTGCTCTCACTGCTATCTGGACTCCCGAATGAAGTGGACTTCGCTATTAATGTGTGCACTCTGCTGTCAAACGAAAGCAAGCACGTCATGCAACTTGAGAAAGACCCGAAAATCATCACTTTATTACTTGCAAATGCCGGGGTGTTCGATGACAGTAAGTTGTAAACCAAATATGTGAAATGATCATTCTGTGGAGGTGTTGAAGGATTTTTTCAAATGTTTTTAGGGACAAAATAATTTTCATTAGTAGAATAGCCATCTTTATTTGCTTTTATTATGTTAAATACATTACTTAAGATAACATTTGTAGTTTTTTATTATTTTTGGTTTCTTTTTGAGACAGGGTCTACTGTGTAGTTGTGGCTGGCCCTGAGCTATGTAGCCAGGCTACCCTTGAACACCCAGGTCTCCTCCACTCTCGTCTGCCAAGGGCTGGGGTCACAGCTGTGCACCACCACACCCAGCTAAATAAATGTTTGAGGTTTGTTTTTTTTAAAAAACCATATATGCTTAAATAGTAAGCTGGTGTTATTACACCTTTTGATATAAAAATCCTGATATTGGCTATGAGTAATACATAGGTTTCCTGGATTGAAAAACATTGGTTTTTACAAAAATCTGAAAACTAGGAACTGGAAGAAATTGTTTTTAAAGTCTGTTCTTGTTACATGTCTAACTTTTAACTAAAATAAACATTTTAGCTCAAAGCATTTGCAGATTTGCTTCCTAAATAATCAAATTAAGGTTCATCAGATGTTTCATAGCCTTCTTACAGAATTTTCTAGTGGTAGTTTTTACAAATCAAATGATGGATTTTCCGTGAAATTGCATTTTAAAGGTAAGTTACTTTTCACTCACCAGATCTTCTCAGTTTTCTGGGTTTAGGTGAGTAGATTTAAAAGGTGTATTTTGAAACCTTTACTTGCTCATAGTTTTATCTCTAAATAGCAAGGCATGTACAAATGAGTACATTTTTCTGCAATTGGACTTGGATTTACTACTGTACTTTTAAATATAATTGTATTTGAAATTATGTAAGATTCTTTTTAATTTGCCATGAACTTATTTGAAATGAAAACAATTTTGAAATGAAGTTTAAACAGGAATAACTGTGAGTTTCTTACTCTCCCAAAATTATTCTTGTTTACCTGAGGGAGGAGCAAAGACTGTTACTTCTTAGTTTACGTTCTGTCTTTAGAGATTTCAATTTGTTTGATTGCTGTCTCATTTTCATCTTTAATTCCCGGCATTTAATTTTGATCTTTCAAGTACAGCTTTTATCATTTAATACAGAATAGTTGGAGAATTTTACATATTTTAAAAAGCTCCAAATGAAGCTTTTAGAAACCATAGTAATCTTACTGAAGCCGTCCTGCTTGGTCATTGAACAGGACTGCGTGCGAACAGTGGGTACAGCGCAGAGGGAAGGGTGACAGTTTTGGTATACAGGCATGACATTCTTTTTGCCCATTTATCTTGAATTCTTCAGAGATTTATATTCGTGTAAGTGACTAAATGATCCTGTACAGTAGCAATCCAGAACATGAAGAACTTAGCAAAGGCTCCTTAACAGTGTTTCTGTCATTCCAACAAGAGAAGAAAGTTAGAGATCCAGAGTGCATGAGGGCTTTGTGTGCTCGACCTGAGCCGAGAGGCCGAGAAGTGGTACAGGGCTCTGTGGAGACAGCTCACAGCAGCGGTGTACTAGCGGTGCCACCCTTCTAAACGCGTTCTTCTCTAGTAAGGGAAACCAGTGGCAGAGTAACTGCTACAGTAGTCTTCACTCTTCTTTTTACTGTGTATAACTTAGGAAAGTGAGCCGGCTTGTTACTGTTTGCAGTGCTGGGGAGTGAACTCAGGTCCTCATATGCAAAATCAGGGCTGTTGATACTGAGCTGCATCCCCAGTCCTAGTGTTTTGTAATTGAAACAATACATAATTCAAAACATTATCATTTATTATCACTTACTAATAGTTATTGCTACCATTTGTTTTACAATTTTTATGTTAAAATGTAGTTACACAGTTTTTAGTATTTTGCTCTGTATAATATGAAGAACCAAAGAATTAATCACATTTTACTAAATATACTATTTGTCCTTTTAGCATTAGGATCCTTTTCTACTGTATTTGGGGAAGAATGGAAGGAGAAGACTGATAGAGATTTTGTGAAGGTAATTCACGCAAATTAACATGTGGATGCACTGAATTAACAGATAGCCACGCCAACAGCGGCTTGAATGGTTGTTCATGTCATATACATGATACTATTCATACTTTTATTTTTAGCATGATACATACTTATGTAGAAGTGGAGTAGAAAATCTTATAACTAATGAATGGAAATAAAATTCATATTTTATCATTTACATTATTTTTATTGTGACCTGATGATGATATATCTACAACAGCAATGAATATTTAAGTGACCTGTTCCTAAGTAGAACATTTAAGTTTGGTTGCTTTTGATTTCATTTCTTCAACTAAAATTTTGTAACCTATGTACTTTGTTTTTTAAAAGCAGCCCTCTAAAACACTATTATATATGATATATGTAGACAAATCACTTATATTAAAACTCAGTTGTAGTAAACATTTTGATATTACAATAGCATGCAGTTTATTTTTTATTTTTTTTATTTTTTTAAATTTTTTTTTTGGTTTTTCTCCGGTACCAGGAACCGAACTCACGACCTTGCGCTTGCCAGGCAGGCGCTTTGCCGCTGAGCTAAACCCCCAGCCCCAATGCAGTTTAGATTAAGACACTTATTTTAAGAAGTATCTGTCAGCTAAAAATAAAATTTTTCTGTTGGCATTTTACTAAAAGAAACATGAATTTAGAATTTATGTACAACTAATTGAATATATTTAAAATTACAAAATTTTTAAACATAAAACACATGTGAACTCTATTATACAAACTTTAACAACTTAAAAAAATTGTTAGGTTTTAGGAGTAAATAACAAGAGTTATTTTTATATAAGGTTCTTCCCAACTCGACTTTTCAGCAGGTTAAGTGTTATAAATATATAGAGATATCTTTTAACCTTTTATGTGGAATTGAATGATTTTTCTTGAATTATTTGTAGATCTTCAGAAGATCTTTACTGGTTTGATTCTTAATTTTGCCACTGACACATTTTTATTTCATAATGTATCAGTGTTTTTCTTGACCTAAGAAGAAAATAAAGAGTTACAATTAGACACCATCACTGACTTTACATCAAAATAATTTTATATAAGGTTTCTTGTAAATTTGTTTATAGTCTATCCTATAAAATATTCTACTTTTTAAGAAAATTAAAAGTTAATATTAACTACATATTAAATACTTTAATAGTTATGCTTTACATTTTTCTGTTCACGTTTTTTTTTCCAAACCAAAAAATTCCATTGTAAAATATTTCAAGCAATCTATAATGTCTCTTCAAGGATGTATGCATGAATTTTATCTTAAGTAGCTAGAATATTTGAATTATTAACTCAAATAATAACAAATTTATTAACAAGCAACAAAGGGAAAAAGAACAAGGTGTTTTCATAGTTTTTTAGAAGTAATAAATGGACACTGGAAAAGCTAGAATATACAGCAATAGAAAAAAATTTTATCTTTAATTACACCTACCCAGATATAAACTCTTAATATTTCTGTTTCCATCTATCAGGTATTTTCTGCGTATGCAATAATTAAAACCAAAGGTTGTGTTTCAGACTGTGTGGTGGGGAGGGGCCAGTGTCAGGGACTGAACCCAGTACCTTCTTCCTGGGCAAGTGCTCTGCCACCAAAGTGTAACCCAGCCTTCAGGCTTAGTGTGTAACTTACCTCTTTCCCTGACATGACGAGCTTTCATGTTTACTCTTACTCTTTAACTTTGTAATGAGCACTCATTTTGTATTACAGATATTTCATATTTCATATTAATAATTCATACGGTCTGAACTTTAGGTTGTTTCTGTTTTTCATTATTATAAACCTAGCTGGAATGAACATGTCTGCAGCCAAATCTATAAGAATAAAAGAAATTTTCCAAGGGATAAATTCCAAGTAGTAAAATTTCTGAATGAAAGTATATTAAATCCTCTTAAGAAAAATCAACTATTGGGGCTGGAGATTTAGCTCAGCGGCACAGCGCCTGCCTGGCAAGCACGAGGTTGTGAGTTCTATTCCCAGTACCGGAGAAAAACAAAAAAAGGAAAAAGAAGAGTCAGCTATTACCATATTAAGTTTTATAATAGTTACTTTTCATATTGTTATTGCAAATGAAGTTTACACCCAAAAGGCTAAGTGCTATATAAGGTATAATTGTTCAAAAATGTTTGTAATATTTGATTGCTTCATAAGGTATTACCTAATTTAAAATTTTTAATATTTGCCTGATGATATGCAATAAAATAGAGCTTTAATGAAACCTAGAGAAAAATGGCTTAAACTATTTTACCTTGTTGTTTGTCTTTAAAATCATTTTGTACATTGATTCCTTTGTTTAGCAAATGTCTCCTGAATAATGTCTGTGTGCTAAAACTTTTTCAGACATAGGCAAACAAGGTTCCCACTTTCAAAGAATTTTCATTCTATTGCAAGAAAACTCACAATAAAGTTAAAACAGTATAATTTGAAATTTGGCAAGTATTATAAGAGAATAAAACAGATTAAAGTGATAAAACAGATGTGGGTGTTTGGTCACGTGACCAACGGAGGCTTTTCTTAGGAAGGAATACCTGATAATTCTTGATAGATGGAAATGGTAAGATGGGACCATCCTTGCAAAGGAAGAGCTTTTCAGGTGCAAACGCTCTGAGATGAGAACAAACCTAGTCTGGGATTTAGGAAGGAAGTTTATGGGGCAGGACCCTCCTAAACAAAAGGAAAGGTGTAGCAGGAAATACACTGCCTCTGTTTCAAACGTGAATGTGCACTTGACAGTATCTGGCTAATGCCAAAGAATAAATTAATCATGGTTCTGTATATTAAAACTAAATTTCAGTGTACATGAAATTTTTCTTTAACAGACTTTCCCAAGTCCTTTAAGTAGATTTTTTTATTAAATTTAAACCCGTATTTAGAAAAGTACACATAAGTATACAACTCAGTAATTGTGTGCAAAATGAGCACCACAATGTAATCATTATCCAGAGGGAGAAATGAGCATTCTTCCTCTGCACGGCCGCCCCGTGCCCGTCCCAGTCTCTTCCTTCACTCCCTCGCCCGTACGTCTCTGTGCCGACTCTGCCGCTCTGCTGTTGAGGTTCATCCGCACGGTTCCTAGTATACGTGTACCGTATTCACCGTTGTTGTTGTGCAGCATCGCATTCCATGAATTGTAGCAATTTGTTCCTTCTGCTTTTTTTTTTTTTTTGGTTTTTCTCTGGTACTGGGAACCGAACTCACGACCTTGCGCTTGCCAGGCAGGCGCTTTTGCCGCTGAGCTAAATCCCCAGCCCCTTGTTCCTTCTGCTTTAAATTCAGAAAGCGGTAAGAATTATTTCAAGTTTAGAAACAAATAATTCTGCCGTGAAGGGTTTTACACATTTGTTTTGGTAAATGTATGAAAGCATTTCTGTTGGATGATAGACCTGGGAGTGTAACTGCTAGTTTATAGGATGTGCATACAACTCAGAGGGGCAGCCTTAGTAGATAACGTCAGCCGGACCCTCCTCGTTGCAGTCTGTCACCTGCTGTTGCCGGTGGGCGGTACTGTGGTCTCTCTCACTGTAACCACCCGGTGGGTATGTAGTGTTGCTGCGTGTTGGGTTTAATTTCCATTTTTGCATAGTGACTGATAAAAAAAAAAATACCATTGTCTTTTAACAGTTTCTTTTGAGCACTGCCCATAATTAGTCCATTGTCTTTAAGATGGTCTTATTGTAGTTCTTTGCTTTCAATAAAAGTTCTTTTTCAGACGTGTATTGGATATATCTTCTCTCTAGTTGATTTTTTTATTCTTTAAAGGTCCTCCTATGAAAACAGTTCTTAATTTAACTTTCTAAAAAATTTGCAAATATATTTCTGAGGTCAGATACATTTCATTTTTTTTCTTCTGTTTTATCTTTCACATTTAGACCTATAATGTGTGTAAAGTTTTGTGTGTATGGTATTAGTCAAAATTTGTTTTTTCTTCACGTGGCGACACAGTAGAACCTGAATAATTTTGATAGATAAAAAAGCTTTGCAGGGGCTGGGGATTTAGCTCAGCGGCAAAAGCGCCTGCCTGGCAAGCGCAAGGTCGTGAGTTCGGTTCCTGGTACCAGAGAAAAACCAAAAAAAAAAAAAAAAAAACCAAAAAGCTTTGCAATGTCATCTTTGTCATAGATTTTGCAATCATACATACATGGATCTATTTTTGGACTCTTCTCCTGGTCCATCTACCCATGTTAGTGTTTCAAAGAACCCGGATTTTAGGTCAAGAAACTGAACTCTAAATCCGGCATGGTGGCGCACGCCTGTAATCCCATCACTTAGGAGGCTGAGGTAAGAGGATTGCTGTGAGTTCGAGGCCAGCCTGGGCTGCACAGTGAATTGAAGACGAGCCTGAACTGCATAGTGAGACCCTGTCTCAAAAGGACAAAAAAAAAAAAGAAACTGAATTCTTTCTATTGAAATTTCAGTTAAAAAGTTTTTGAATTGGAGAAAATATTCACTGTTTTGTATTGTTCATTGCCAAAAACAGTATATCTCGTTTTTATACCTCTATAAAATATAAAGCCCAGGAAAACGGGCCTTTTAATCTAAATTATTTCTTCCAGTTCTTCCTTGCATCTCTCAATCTCTTCTGAGTATCTATCCTTTCCGTGGTATAATATAGCCTTAGTTAGGTTTTTAGGGGGGGGTATATCTTATTAGAAAAACTCTGAATTCTTTGTTTTTTATCCATATTCTGTGTATGGAATTGTAGGAGTTTTTGTGGGTTTTTCATGCCTTTGTTTTCATCTTTATTTTGTTGTTAATTTTGGATCTGCTTGCTTATTTATTCATTTATTTATTTATTGCCTTATTGAGACAGGGTTTTGCTATCCAGTTCAGGCTGGCCTTGAGCTCACTTTGTAGTCCAAGCTGGCCTTGCATTCTTGGGGATCCTCCTGCCTCGGCCACCAAACCCAGCCTGTTTAGTGTTTTAGGACCATGTGACAAGGTGTAGATTTTCTTTACTTCTGGAATTCCAAAGTTGAATTTTT